GTGTGTGTGTGTGTGTGTGTGTGTGTGTGTGTGTGTGTGTGTGTGTGTGTGTGTGTGTGTGTGTGTGTTTGTGTGTGTGTGTGTGTGTGTTTGTGTGTGTGTGTGTGTGTTGTACTCACCTAATTGTGCTTGCGGGGGTTGAGCTCTGGCTCTTTGGTCCCGCCTCGCACCCGTCAATCAACAGGTGTACATGTTCCTGAGCCTATTGGGCTCTATCAAGTGTGTGTGTGTGTGTGTGTGTGTGTGTGTGTGTGTGTGTGTGTGTGTGTGTATGTGTGTGTGTGTGTGTGTGTGTGTGTGTGTGTGTGTGTGTGTGTGTGTGTGTGTGTGTGTGTGTGTGTGTGTGTGTGTGTGTGTGCTCGCACTGCCGACAGGTTGGTCCAAGTTATGTCACTGAAGATAACGAGCGATGGATCTTTTTTATGCTAAAAACGAACTTCTGTTTAACTAATTTGACGTTTCCTCTATTTTATTTTTGTTTTATAGTCTTGATTTTTTATCTTTACTTTGCCTTCCCTCCAGTCCATACTCTCTTCTCTCCACCTCAATTCCTCTTCTCCCACTACTCCTTTGAACTTCTCTATTTTCACTCTCTACCTGCACGTTTCCTTCATTAAGGTACTCCATCTCTGGATTTGTCTTTCATTATCTCCTTCTTCACTGCACTCAACCTCCTTTCACCTCCCTTCTATTTACGCTAGAACTTAAGTTTATATCCATCTCCCTCCCACTCACTCCATCCTGTCATTGGTCTTCTCTTCATATATTACTTTCACCCTTCCATCATCTTTTTATATACTGCATACTCAACATCTCTCTTCCGTCCTCTCCCTTTCAGCACTCTGTCTCCCTTTAGAAAATACTTCCTCTGCTCTCAGACTTCCTTTAAGCCTTCCTTCTTTGCGTCCAATTCCAGCCCTATTCCTCTTTACATTAAATGTCAGGTCTATTTCTCACTCTTCGCATTCTGCCTTCTTGCAGCACCCCCCTCTCCTCCTCTCTCTGCTTCCCTACCAGCCCCCACTCTCTGCTTCCCTACCAGTCCCACTCTCTGCTTCCCTACCAGCCCCCACTCTCTGCTTCCCTACCAGCCCCCACTCTCTGCTTCCCTACAAACCCCTTCTCTCACCGCCCCATCTCCCAGCCGGTTCCTCAGACTCCAACCTTCTCCTAGATAAGCATCAATGGGAAATGTGGGCGAGTGAGACTGGCGAGGTGCAGGTAATATCCGGGACTTTGTCCCGTCCGGCCCACATTGACGGGACGCCTTCCCCTCTACCACACTCTCCTCCAACACAATGTTTTCCCGACGTCATCAGGATGACCCCCACCTCCACCACCTTCACCATCACATCTTCACATTACCTACAAATAATTACCCAAATCACACAACATCACCACTAATTCCTATAAAATCACAATGACCGGTACACCATCACCAACACAGTTACAATTGGTCAAATTAATCACTAAACTCCAAATCGTACGTTACAGTTATCACTTAAATTATTACGATCCTATTCAACGTAACAGCCACCACAAATAAAGTAGCAAACTATCACCAAAATATAACGCAGGTATGATATTAAAACGTGTTTGGACGCCTCGTTATTGATTTATGAAACAAACACCCGGGTACCACAATAGACCAGGGATCTATTGATTGTTTCATTCGTAGATTGGACATATACACCCATGAATTTGGGTGGATATAAAAAAGAACTACATCGAATGAGCCAAAAGGCCTTCAGCACTTTCCTTATGCTTGTGTTTTTTAGTTCTTCTTAACATCAGCCTGAACTTTAAAGAAATCACAACCAACGTGTCTACCACAGGCTTTCAAAAATATGGCTGTGACTGTCTGTATGACAGACAACACATCCACCAATTACAGCTACTTATCTACTTTGATACTTTTAAATTATCATCTTCTACTTTTCACGTCTGAACTGCCTTTTAATATAAGAAATATTATTCATTAAATAAAAAATAACAATGAATAACCTCTCATAATACCAGTAACAACCTCACGCAATGTGCAGTAACACTGAACAACCTCACGCAATGTGCAGTAACACTGAACAACCTCACGCAATGTGCAGTAACACTGAACAACCTCACGCAATGTGCAGTAACACTGAACAACCTCACGCAATGTGCAGTAACACTGAACAACCTCACGCAATGTGCAGTAACACTGAACAACCTCACGCAATGCAAAATAACACTGATTAACCTCAATAAATTACTGGTCTCACACAATCAACAACAACAACGAACAACATTATACAGATAGCATTAACGTAGAACAGTGCTCCTTGCTTTACACAGTTGGAGGATCTACAGGACATGGTTGCACTGTTGACTTTTCTACTCTGCAATGCATCATATTCTGCATCACTGTTTCTGCAACACTTTGTCAGTCAATTACATTTTTGTAAATAAGATACACACTTTCTTCAATACGTTGAACTTAGACCCGTGGTTTTTGGTCCCCCATTTAATGATCTTTCCTTCTACCTATTCCACCCGTCATTTACTCATTACCTATTTAATGAGCTCATTTACCTCAGTTACCTATTTAACTATCAGTTACAACGTCAACAATGCCAGTAACATAGGCGGTAACCCACAGTAACCCTTACCAGCAACAGATCCGACAACATTGGAGGAGGTAGCCATCACGACCAACAACACAAACAGCGATAACAAAAGCAGGAACAGCGATTTTCGGCAAAATAAGCGGCAGTAATGACAACCATTACATGATAACAAATAAACAAATAAAACATGAGCATACAAATAAACATGAGCAATAGCAACGCCAGGAGTAACAGGAGCAGCTGTGATCACCTCCGACAATAGAAGCCTCTATAACTCTAGCAGCAGTTCCGCTATCAGCAGCAGGTGCACCAGCTTCATAGATGACCGAAGCAGAGGCGACAGCATCAGAGGCGACCGCGACAGAGGAAACAGCACCAGACGCGTCAACAACAGTTGCGACAGCAACAGGGTCGACAGCAACCAAGGCGACAACAAGAGAGTCGACAGCAATAGAAGCGACAGCAACAGAGGCGACAACAAGAGAGTCGACAGCAATAGAAGCGACAGCAACAGAGGCGACAACAAGAGAGTCGACAGCAATAGAAGCGACAGCAACAGAGGCGACAACAACAGAGTCGACAGCAATAGAAGCGACAGCAACAGAGGCGACAACAAGACAGCAGTGTCGCCACAACCGTCAGCCAAGGCCCACGCCAGCGGGAGTTGGCCGGGCTCCAGACATGTTATGGATAATTTTATGACTCAGCCTGTAGCTCTACATGGAATTTTTCCATTTCTTGAGCTCTCCATCTTCCTCTTACGCCGAGACATATACACTTTCACGACATTTACACAGGCGGAAGTTGGCAGCATAGCATAAATAGCGGTCAGCCCTGACAATCCCATTCGCTCCACGAGATTTTCCTCTCTCTTATATAGCCTCCCAAGGCTGCTCACACTCTTCCTTGAGACTTGTACATCCTCTATTGGGCCTCTACTTGTTGACAGATTTCCGTGGTTTATGAATTTATTTACTGATAGAACGCTTATGACTTGTGATATAATATTATCAGGTTGCTTCACACACAGAGTAATCACACTAACGTGACTGCATCAATGAGATAATCCGTAGGAGCCGTGAAGAGGATTCGAACTCTGTGGTGGGTGTTCCCACATTCACGCCCGAGACAACTAGGCCATGACATTGTTAAAATTGTAACGCAATCACACGAGGAAACCCTCGTGTGTTCAGTAGAACTCCAGGTTGCAATGCTTTTGACTATGTGGTGGCCTGGTTGTCTAGGGTGTGTGCGTGGGACTACCCACCGCATAGATTCGAATCCTCATCACGGATCCTACGGATTTTCTCATCAGGTTGCTTAATGTGGTCTACATGTGAGCGCGCACGCACACACACACACACACACACACACACACACACACACACACACACACACACACACACACATACACACACACATACACACACACACAATCGTCCAATTGCTCACAAGAGTGAATGAGATGAAGATGACTAGCATATTGAAAGAAAGGTTTCGAGGGAATCAGAAAATGTCGTTCGGGGAAGCCATGGGGCACATGTTGAAAAGCTCAAAGTCGATCGTTTATTTTATTTCAAGCAAACGTTTCTCCTCAGTGGCTGTAATTGTCATACGGAAACTCATGTGCCAGAAAACACCAATTAGGTAATTTGATCAGGATAACTTTAAAAATGAACTCAGTAATGTAGAACCAACGGCATATTTTACTTCAAAAACAAATATTGACTCTTCCTATATTAGACTCGCTAATAATTATGATGAGATACACGATGTGTCAAGGAAAACCTACTTATAACAGTAGCCTCGGAAAACGAGTGAGACCGATTTAGCTGAACTTTTGGAAAAAATATTAACAATTCCTTTCTGAATCTTGCATTCCTAATATATTTAATTTGGTATACTAAAAGCGGCCAGCAAATAACGGCAATAACCCCATAAACTGAACACGAAAAAACGGATGTTATTCCCAGCAGGACAAATAGCAATTCCATCTCGAGCACCTTTGATGAAGTTAATAAACACCAAATTATGGCAGAAGGTGTTATTTGCAGGCAACGTTACTTAAATGAGGACTTTGCCATGTCTGACAAATACATGTATCTATTGCACGTAAAAGAAAAAGAATTGGAAGAGGTAGTGTTACGAAGATGCAATCAAACACAAGACACGAATATAAAACCGAATATGACAGATCCCATACGTGATCGATTAGTACACCTGTGTATTAAAGGTTGATAGAAGAACAATAAGTGTGAAGTTTATCCCGACGCAAGCATATCCAGGCGATTACACACGCTCATAACACATTTAAACGAACACAGACGCACATATTTATACACACAAAATCAGACACAAGCACCCAACTAGAGCAGACCTGAGTGGTGATGTCCTTACCTTGAAGCCCTTGAGCTGCTCCACAGTACAGGGCAAGAGGGCATCCCTGCCCACTGTAACGGTAATGTTGGGCACGTTCTCGATGAACTTGGGCAGTGACTCTTCGTCTTCGCTCACCACTGTTGGGAAGAAATCGACAGTTACTGGCCTGGGGAATCGGAGACGGGTAAAAGTTACTTGTCCTTGAAGACAGTTAGGAGAGTTATTGCCCTTGTGAGAGGAGGAGTGGAGGAGAGTTACTGATCTGGAAAGCTGGAAAGAGTGAGTAAATATGAGGAACATGAGTTCCTGTCCTAGAAGTGGGGAGAGTAGTTGATTTGAGGAATGAATAGTTACTGATCTTGGATGTGGTGTGTTACAGGCCTGGGGATTGATAACGAGTTAAGGTCTAATGAGTCGTTAAGAGTTACCTGTCTACGGAGTTGTGAGTTATAGGCCTGGAGAATGGGAGAGTTAATAGTATAGTGAGGGGTGAAGAGTTACGGGACTAATGAGTGAAGAGTCGCAGACCTGGGAAGTGGGGGGGAAGCTGTCTGGAGAGTAGTGGAGAATCATTGGTACGAGGAGGAAAAGAGATGTTCTGATCGAGACAGAAGGAAGAGAGATGTTCTCATCCGGACAGAAGGAAGAGAGATGTTCTCATCCGGACAGTACCAATGCAACATAATTATTTTGTAAGTTACAGAGAAAGAAAGAGAGGAATGAAGGATTAAAGCTACGAAATAAGAAAAAAGATAAAACGAAAAGGAATTAGAAATAAATAAAATAAATAATACAACACACTGCAAGTGAGTAAGGAGAAATCTGGACACATAAAATCAAATAATTCATGGAGAGAGAGAGAGAGAGAGAGAGAGAGAGAGAGAGAGAGAGAGAGAGAGAGAGAGAGAGAGAGAGAGAGAGAGAGAGAGAGAGAGAGACAAAATATAGGAAGTTACAGAATCACATAGATAACAAGGACCAAGGATCAACATTCAGCGGGCCAGCAGAGTGTATAATGTATGCCACGTATATTATTCAAATGGATGCACATCCATGGAAGCAGAAACAAGCGTCACATGCAAATATCCATCCGTCATCCGCCAGACTCCCGACACGAGCACGACCGGCACGCCAGGAGACAGATCAGATGATACTCGTCGGCGCCAATAGATGCTTCCAATTCTTTATAATGGAAATATTCTTAAGTGATTGGCAAGCTTCCAGCCCGTTCATGATACCCGCAGAATAAAGGAGCAAGGGGAGGGGAAGGGAGAGAAGCCCGGCGATGCAGGGGAGAACGATAGCGGGGGAGAGCGGACCGAGGGGAGACTAGATAGAAGGGAAAGTGAGTTTGGTGGGGGAGTGAGTCAATAGAGAAGGGACTGAGGGGAGAGTGGCGATGGTGGCGAACCAGGCTGAAGGGAGAGGTAAGATTTAGAGAACCGAGGTGAGAATAGGAGGAACATGTGGAGAATCAGATTGAAAGAAGTAGGAAGTGGAGGAGGATGTAGCAAACCAGACTTGGGGGAAGAGAACAATGTAGAGAACAAGGTTTCAGGTGAGATAAACTCTGCACGCTTGTTTCTGCCTCGACGGGGACTCGAATCCGAACCCTTAGGACTACGACCCCTGAGCACGCGCGCGCGCGTGTGTGTGTAATTGAAGGATTCGACACTTTTGCTTTGTTTTTGCCACTTGAAGTCCCACTTGCCTACTGGCCCTAACCACATAGACTGGACGGTAGAGCGAGGATCTTCCTTCATGCAGGTCGGCGTTCAATTCCCGACTGTCCAATAGGTGGGACACCATTCCTTTCCACCGTCCCATCCCAAATCCTTTTCCTGACTCCTTTCAAGTGCTTGTCGTAAGGGATTGGAGCCCTTGATAATTCCTTCCTTGCTTACTGCCTTTGCAGTAATTAAAGTGTTTCCTCACATCTCTGTGGATCCATTTCACTAACTCTTCTGAGTATTTTATATATCGGGAACATGTGTGCGTGTGAGAGGGAAGCATCATCGCCCTTGCTGCTACGCAGTCACAACCTGCACATTGTGTGCGAATCTGTTCAGAAAAATCATAGCGAAATTTTTATATTTTTTAGAGGGGGATGGACAGGGGTCAGAGTTTTCTCTTACCAGCATTTATTTATTTAGCAATTCCTATTTTTTTAATATTTCTATTTCTGTGAATCATAGCCATTTTCATTAAAAGTCATCTACTTACTTAAGTTCATATCATCTGTTATGCCCTGTTATCGCACGCGAATTAATGACCGTTCATGCAGAGCTTCTCAGCCAATCAGTCATTGGAACCGGATAACCAGGTCATGGACTTTACACTATAACTTACGTGAAACTGTATTTTGTCGCTATTCTCAGCAAATCTTATACTACCTGCTCGAGAACCTCTAGGAGAAACATTTCCAAGAATGACCCATACGAAACAATATAATTGAGTCTTCTATGATCTGAGGGATGCATTATATACAATATAGGCTCCCTCTCACCGTCTGAGACCGTGAGGAACAACTATCCAGGGAATGAAGGAAGCGAGTCCTTGGCAGATGCTCCAGCATTCCATGGCTGGCTGACGCCGAACCGTCTGTCAGGAGACGCGAATCCGGAAATTAGTAGCACAGCACGTGAGTCTATGAGCCCCTCTAAACAAGGGGAACATAGACGCAGTGCAAGCTGTACAGCCAGCTTACACTGTGATAATGTACGGTCGAGAACAATATAGGCTTTCCTGATCTGATACAATTGGTTATTGCTGGTACCTTGAGTTATCTTGAGTTATCTTGAGATGAATTCGGGGCTTTAGTGTCTCCGCGGCCAGGTCCTCGACCAGGCCTCCACCCCCAGGAAGCAGCTCGTGACAGCTGACTAACACCCAGGTACCTATTTTACTGTTAGGTAACAGGGGCATAAGGTGAAAGAAACTCTGTCCATTGTTTCTCGTCGGCGCCCGGGATCGATTCCGGGACCACAGGATCACTAGTCCAGTGCGCTGTCCGCTCGGCCGACCGGCTCCCTTACACAGTCCCTTACACGGTACAGTTAGTATATGTTCATACAGTTAGTGTGTGCTAAAAGAGTAATGCATTTTATTACAGTAAGTGTGTGTAGGTACTGTCAGTTTATGTTGACACTTTTGTCATACAAATAAACTTTTCCGATCAAATAATTAAATAATATATAACATAGTATTAGTTTGAATCTCTAACAATCAATACTCCTAGGGAGGTACTATAAGATGTCTCAAAACCTGAAATTAGCTGAGCAAATATACCTTAAGCTATGTCAGAGACTAAAAACAGAGACGATGTACCTAACTGTAATATGGTGATCAGTGCTGGGAGATGTAGTGTAAGTGGCCCTCAACGGGACCAAACACGATCGGAGGGCGATGTTTATGAATTTATTGATAAAAACACAGGCATTATATTGGTTTTGTAGCCTCAATGATAATTTGCTGCGAAGTTTTGAAAATATATTTGCCTGGATCTGCATCATTCATCTCGTAGAAGGAGCCAATGTAACTTCCCAAGTTCATGACGGTGCACCTGTTAACAATTAGCTGCATTGGCCACCTTTCTGTCCAGGTCTGTGAGAAGTTATTGCGTTAGATCGGCAGAGTCTCATTCTGATGCCCTATTCGGTCCACTTTTATGTCATCCTTAAACTTGTCAAATGCTGCTATTCATCCAAACATCAAAATATCTCGTTGAGATATTGCGAAAAACGAGAGGGCACAATACAGACCCTTGAGGCACACCACTAGTGACATTTCTACATCCCGACCTTACTTCGCTCATTCTAATTCTCTGCTTCTTGTTATTGAACCTGGGTTTGAGAAAATTGGGAACTTTCTCTCCAATCCCGTGAGACTTAACCTTCCTAATCATGCAGTCATATGGTACAATATGAGAAGCCTTACTGAGGTCCTGGTAAACAACATAATAACTTTTATTGTTGTCTACCGCCAGGGATTCGTTTCAGTAGAACTACAAATTTATTATATAATAATTCCCTCGCAAGAAAAGACGATTAGAAACCATGAAGCCACGTATGTCAAGGCGTTTTCTTATTGAATTCGTTATTTCAGTCTTAACGAACTTTCTTACTACCGACGTCAGGCTAATCTGACTATAGTTCACAGAAAGGAAACTGAACTTTAATGAATATCAGGATCGCGTTGGCCGCTCCACCAGTGTTACGGTACCTACTGTCCTTGTTAACATGTGCGTGTCTGCTTTCAGATTCATACACGATATTGACCGACTATTAGAATTACCAGATATATATGTTGTTCATTAGGTTTTGTATATATATGTCAATCAAGTCACATTCTATTATTCGAGTGTATCTAAAAATGTGCTTGAATCCAATAGGGAGCCTTACTCAGCTGTGACGTCAGTAAAGTAATGACGTTTTATTGGTGACATGGCACAAAGTAACCAATGGGAAAGGACCTCACACATGTCACGTCATCAAGTAGGCCCTGTGAAAAGCCAGGTCAGGTTACTTGCAATTGAGACGTCTACGAGAACTATAACTCTCTCTTTTGCTCTTTACACCTTTGGAGGACTAGCTTAAGGCTTATGGAACATCTACATAACCACTGTAGACCAGTGTTCAATTCCACTGGTTTACAGTAGTGTGATATTCCAAATTTCCTCCACTACCCAGCTTTCTATTTTTGGCTAGTGTGTGATTTTTTTCAGGATTGAGGTAACCTAAAGAGTACGCCTTTCTGAGTTAGGTATGCTCTTGTTTCATACAAGTATCCATTGGATCCCTGGATATTTAGCATACAGGGCATTTAAATACATAGTGAAATGTGAATGTGTAATGCCCTAGAGTCTTACAAGAAGTAAAAAAACGTTAATATGCAAAAATGTCCATGTATGGATTCAGTAAAGCACACGAGTGAAAAAGCGTAGAAGACAGACATACTAGCATATATATATATATATATATATATATATATATATATATATATATATATATATATAATATTGTATACTTTGCATACTCAGTGTGAAAATGAAACTTATTATTATTGTTTTTATATATATAAAAACAATAATGAATTATATATATATATATATATATATATATATATATATATATATATATATATATATAACTGAAAACTCACACCCCAGAAGTGACTCGAACCCATACTCCCAGGAGCCACGCAACTGGTATGTACAAGACGCCTTAATCCACTTGACCATCACGACCGGACATAATGAGGTGATAGCCGAG